TGATTTTCTGAATAGAATTAACCGTATCCATATCTAATTATGGTTCTACTTGACTTTGCGCTATTCAATGGGTTTTCAATTCGATTCCCAGTTCGCGCTATTCGGATTTCGATTCCTATTCTGAATACTAAAATACCTCAAGTTCCGACTAGTCAGACTCAGAAACCAGGCAAGAATGGAATGGGATCCGAGTCAAGGCACTAAAACAGGCACAATCAGGAAAAAAAGACTAACAAATATCAAAGGAACCAAGTAATAAAAGGGGAAAAAACTAACCAATCACATACATGCATGCAGTCCTTGTGGGGGTGAGGCCGGAGCTTTATTCGTTGGTAATGTAAGTACGAATTCGGCACACATAAAGCGTACACTTTTACCCGCTGAAATTGTCTCAAATGCAAACGTTGGCTCACACACACGACAGCCCGAATCGCTGGTGTGCGTGTTAGTTTTGGGCAAAGTAGCCGCTTTGCGTTGACTTTTCGTTCCCCTTGAAAAATAAGTAGCAATTGTTAGTCGTTGCAGAACGGATTTAATGGACGATGACAAAACACACTGTCTGATTGAACGTTTCAGGTTTGAATGTTTGTGAAACATAAGGGAAGAATTCAACCGCCTTAGTTCTGACAATGCGAAAAGCAGACAGCTTCGATTGCGAATAAATGAATAGAGTGCCTTGGCAACACCAGATCGGCTCAGAGTGGGACCAGGTGGATCTAGGAAGAAGCCAGTGACTACGGAGTAGGTGAGAAATAATGAGAAAACGCACACGCCCAACTGTTTTCAAACCGGTATAGTTTTTCATTCGCACGCCGGTTTTCATTCCACTCACAAATTTCCATGAAGTAGCCATGAAGCAATCGGATTGATTGGACCTGTGGAATTTGAAGAATGGTTGTTTTTCATGACTTTTATTATTCAACGACATCTTATTCAGAATATTCGCAATAATACCAATATAGAAAGCTGGAGATCCACCCAACACGGAGGCATAAAGCATACCTAGTCTTGGTTTGAAAGCGCATCTTGTTAATGCAACCATCGTTTACCGAAGATGTAACCTTGACTGACGAGGCCGTCCTCAACCTTCAAAGAGGGATTGACTGAAAGATTCAAGCTTAGTAGGTATAGCCCCAAATTATTGTTCTTATTGATATGCATATTAAGGCGTTGATTGGTCCATAGTTCCTTGATGACACAATAATTGAAACGACTGTCTTACAGTTGTGTTCTACTTTGGTAAATCAGGATACTCAAACATTGGATACAGAGCAAAGGCAGAGGATTCATTTATAGCAGAATGATGTAACTGGCTATTATTCGGTGGCTGTGGGAACTTAGTATACTTAGTACACGACCTTTTCACGAAAGTGGATTTATAGAGGACATGCGCCCTCAGACCTGACGCATTCAATCAGACAAAATGTGTTTTGTCATCGTCCGTCAAATCCATCCTGCAACATCCAGCAATTCAGGCTGAGGTGTGTGAACGGACGTTTGAATTATGTTCAGGCTTTGTCATTTGAGAGAGTATCAACGGGAGAAAAGCTCAAATTAACTGTAGCTGAAATTTCGACTCCGCAGTGTGTGATTCCGGTTTAGTGAATCACGAGCTGCTACAGAAATCGGATGCGGAACACTTACGGCTCTGTTACATCAGGGGTGGGGTGGGGTGGAAAACAGCTCATGCGATCCGAATGAAGACAGATCTGCTTGTATTGACTTGATTGGAAAAATTAATCACGCCTTATGTTTTGCTCCGGTTCGATTCGATTAACTGTGCACCTATGTGACCCATTATACAGATGACCTTCGAATGTACTTTGCCCAACATCAGATCCCGATTTGGTCCGATGACATACTTTATACTTTGTTGTTATTGTTCGCATACTGCCTCTAAGCGTTTCTCGTCCCATTCGTTTGTGCATCATCTACCCTTATCGTCCTTGAACTTCCGCTGTTCCACGCTTACCAATCTCGTGCGTCATTACCTACGAACTACCCTGGATCCGTTCCCCCACCCACGTTTCGTTCTAGCTCATTGACATCCCGTCCACTTTATTTGCTTATCGGACTGCTTTGCTCCATAGGATCCGATAAACCGTTTGTGTGCCTTGCGCTGACCAATGACTGCGCTTCATTATCCAGCACTTGCGATTGGTATTTCTGGCCCTTAAATTGCCCCGTTTCTTTGCATAGTTTGCACTCCTTTTGGTGACCTCTCCGGTGCTTTGTTCTACGCCTTGACCCGCTTTGTATCCTGTCCTTGTACCGTGGAGACCGAATTGGCCCACAATTTGAGGTATGGTGCTTGATTTTGTACATATGTGCCTGCTTAACGACTTCCCGTTATTTGGAATCGGACTTGGGGTTCGTATCTACGAGTCACTCAACCATTGGACGACAGTCCGGTACACTACTGATACCAACATGTCACTCAAATGCCTAAGGCGTATTAGGTAGATTGAGAAAGTATACAGGGGTGGGTTAAAATGAAGCAAATGAATACATGCACGAGTACTGCAATCGTAGGACGAATAGGGGTTTAAACTGAAAGAATTTGTACCATTTTAGAATGGAGTTGAGAAACTGTTACTTTGAAATGAGAAGTAAACGCGGTGATTGGATCACCTCCCGTTCAGCGCACCCCATTGGTCAACCTGATCACACATTTTTTCTACCCCAAGACTGACAACCTATTTTTCCACACTCTTCCTGTGTAGAACTGAAGCAAACCTCAGTCGTGCACGCCGTTGTCAAGCTCACTGACGCATGTCTATTCGGTGGGTCGATGAAGATGCGCACGAGACAACTAAGCTGGACAAAACTAGAAAAGCAGAAAATGTGATGCACTTTTTCGTGCGCGCTACAGTTAAAGCACAACTGCGCGTAGTTGCTCGGACATTGACAATAGCTCAATCACCAAAGATTAATACAGTAACTACTACCTGGGACGAGTTTTGTGCTTGTGGTTTACTCCGAATGATGCACCGACTTGGGCCATACGTGATCGCTCAATCGCCGAAGCCTACTACAATCACTATCACCATATTTAAAGATGGTCCGGGGGGGGGGGGNGGGGGGGGGGGGGGTAAAGTGATTTCTACATTTAGGGGGAGGAGTAGAATCGCTGGTCCGTGTAAACCTTACCTAGGCGTCATCGAAGTGCTTACAAACGTCGTTCGCTTTGATCTTAACAGTAAAAGGGGTGTGATTTAAAACAACTATTGTTTGTCCACTACCACTAATATTTTTTCATCTTACTCCGAGGCCGGTAAGACTGACTGTGCTGATAATCGGGTGTGCAAGCGAATCGTTCTGACTTGCAAAGACGGGTAGGCGTGGTGCAGTGTCATTGCAAGACACAATGGTGAGATATAAAACCGCTGAAAGTGAATACTGCAATGCAAAGCTGCGGCAGATATCACCATACTCACAAATGCTCAATTCTGTTGAACATATGTGGAGCTTGATTATGAGTCAAAGGCAAGAGGGTTTTGAGTGATAACTATCCNTGATAACTATCCCAGTCTCCTTCAAGGGAATCCTGAACGGGTAATCAGTCAAACAAAATGGCCCACAGAGTTATTGGAACGGTCAGTTACAAAAGCAACATATTGAGTTCCGATGCGCATTGCGCTAGGTTCATTAGATATTTTGTGACATTTTACATGCTTATTATTAAAATAACAAAAGAAGCACTCTCTGACATCGTTTTAGAATTCCTTTCATTGCCTTACTTACTTGATAACTACCCTACTTGCAATGGCCGATAAGATTACACATAGGTGTTTCTTTTTTGCCGTCCATCAAAATAAACCGGGGTGGGATAACACCACAAAGATATGGTTACCCTTTTACAAAACAAATTTCTCGCAACACTTGTACTTGTGGCCTCATGGCAGATAGGAAAATAAGACGACGAATTCTTATCAGGTAGCTAAGCTATATTGAAACGTTTTGCATAAAGTTGATATGATAAACTAATGACCACTACGTAATTTTACAGGAAATTCTTGGTTTACAATTGGAAAGATTTTCAAAGATATACTGTTCTGAATATGGACTTTGAATTAGTTTTGAAGTGCCGTGACTTTTTCTGCTGCTAACTAAAATAATGGGAACATCTGATGTGGAATGTGTAGATGGCCTACGATCATTACAAATAAAACTTTAATGCATTTGTGTGGTTAACTGTTCCTCATCTCGCCGTTCACTGAATCGAAATGGGACGATAGAGTACACCAACAAATGACACACCATTGGTTATACAGGTTTTCGGAGTTTGTGGTTCGACAGGCTGCAGCAAAGATATGAAGGCAGGAATAGCATGCATCTGTTGTCGGAAATACTTTCACGCCTCGTGCGTGAAACTATCGAGCAAGCAGGCAAAACAGATGGCTACACAACCAGATTGTTTTTGGTTTTGTACGGATTGCTTAACTACCCTCATTTTCAAGTGTATAACAAGCATCTGGAACAGATATGAGACGTTATTACTGGCTGCTGAGGAAAAGGCAAACACTAAAATCTCAGCACTGGAAGATAGGATAGCTTCCCTGAATTCCCAAGCGCTCCCTGTGAGCCCAATTCAGCGGCCGACAAAGCGTCTTAGATTTTCCCATAGTAGCTCTTATCCAGCCCACCTGATACGCTCTACCGAAATTAGTAAGGTGCCAAAACCAATGGGAAGCACAAGTATTGTCCCAGAGTTAGAGAACCATTCAATGCAGCCGATACGTGCTCATAGTACGAAGTCAATAACAGCAACAAATGGTGCGGACTCAATTCCAGGCTCTGGGAGTCGAACTGAGTCCAAAGTATCTACACCGCAGGTATATCATACGTCAACAAACCATAAGCGGATTATTGCTCACACCGCCCTGACGGTTATCTGCACTAATGTTTCAGAGGCAGCAACTACACTGAGGGAGAGACAAGTGGAAGAGCTTGGTCACTGGACTGCACTATGTACTGAAATGCACATTGACGTTCACCCAATGAGCATCGTACACCTCTTTCGTCAACCGTCCTCACCTCTCGCCGAGGAACCCAGATTACTTCGAGTTACTTTGACGGATGAGAAAGACATCGAGAACGTTCTTCTTTCTAGTTACCTTCTTGGCAAAGTTTCGAGTCGTATAAAAATACTTCCTGATCGACCGTGGATCGAACGTATGCGCCATCGCACGAACCCAGTAGATGCACACGAGTTGGATTATAAACGAGTTGCATTGATTCACGGAGTCCCGAAATTAAACGATCCAGACGAATCTACATACCAACAAAACGATTGTAAAGAGTGGAGGTTTATTCAAGAGTTGATTGGATGCCATAATATTTTCACCACCTCAGTCAGCCAACTTCCGTATTCAGTAAACTACCGTGGAAACGATCCGAGGAAAGTAACCTTCAGTACCCCGGAAATGGTCACATCGGTCTTGCAGGCATGGTATCAAAACCGAAGAAGAGGACCACCAGAAGTACGCCTCAGACCACTGTTGAATGGTGAAGTTAAACGATGTCCGCATTTTTAAAACTGAATTCCACTTCCCTCTACTTCTTCGGGGTCCCACAGCAGCAGAACTGATTCCCAAAAAAACTACTGCTAGCCGACCGCAGAGTGGTCGGTATAAATAATGATTCGAAACCCAACGGTCTCTTAAACAGACGCTCCCTAGCTTGTTTTTACACAAACGCACAAGGTTCAAATGCGCATGCAAACTGGTCAGTGGAATCTTGTTGCCATTACCGAAACTTGGTTGACAGAACTCATAACGGTCGCTACAAAAACCAAGCCTGTCGTTACGTTGCCTACATGATTATCACCTATCCGTAGTCGAACCAAGAAATGGATGTCACAGAGGAATTTCTGCTGGCGAGATTTCAGAAAATGTCCGACCGCCGACACTTGGGTTAAATATATCATGTTGAGAAACCTTTGTGGAAAATTAGTGCGAGAGGATAAATGAAGTTTCAAGAAAGTCTGGCACAAAATTATTTCCAATCCAAAGGTACTATTTAAGTTTATCAATGCTACCAGAAAAGTGAAATATGGAATCCCGGCACTGAGGCATGCAGGACGCGTTTCCACTACTACTGTTGAAGCAGCCGAATTCCTAAAAGTCCAGTTCTACGAAATATTCACTGCACGTAACAAAGGCGGATTACGGCTTCCACACTTTCTATCAAGTGTCCCATACCTCCAACTGACCACCGTTACGCTCAAATCTGAAACGGTTAAAAACAAACTATTGGCGCTGCGCCGGAATTCGTCTCCAGGGGAAGACAACATCCGGCCACAGACCCTGACGTCTTTGGCAAATTACATATCTGAAATAATTACCCATTTATACCAAAGAATGTTNAAAAACGGCATCATTTCGCCTATTTACAAAGGTGGCTGCAGAAGTGATCCTGCAAACTACCGTCCAGTTACACTTCTTCCTGTTCTGTCAATGGTAATGGAATCGATTGTTGTTGATTCTCTGATGGATCATTTCGAGAAGCATAACATACTTTCGCCGGCCTCACACGGGTTCCGAAGGAAACGCTTGTGCAGCACAAACCTACTACTTACACGAGATGAATGGACAAGATCAGTCGATGCAGAAGAGGCAGTAGACGTAGTCTGCATAGACTTCTCCAAAGCTTTTGACAGGGTTAACCACCATATATTGCTGTAAAAGCTCCATAATTACGGTGTCCGCGGACTGCTACTGGACTGGATTGAGGACTTTCTTCGACAACGTACTGTATCGGTTCTAGTTTATGGTTCTCTATCGGGACCGATTGAGGCTGTCCGTGGAGTTCCTCAAGGATCCGTACTCGGTCCGTACCTTTCCCTGGCATTCATAAACGATCTACCAAATGTCCTTCGAGAAAAGGCATTATTATTTGCTGATGACGCCAAAACATGGAGGACGGTAAAATATCCTGAAGATTATGATACCTTGCAGGAAAATCTCAACGCAGCTTATCGATGGTTCATCATTAATGACATCAAATTCAATGTTGGAAAATGCAAGGTTGTATTGTTGCGCCACAGGGGTCGCTTTCCATACTTGGAACTCAACCATTGCCGCGTTCTCCAAACGAAAAGGACCTGGGAGTTATCGTTCGTGAGGATCTAGGATATTCCACACATTGCGCAAGAGCATCTTCAAAGGCTATAAAACACGTTGGATTGCTAAAACGCGAGTGGCCTCGTACCTCAGCTGCTAGAGCGTGCGCGTACGAAGCATAGGTGGCGTCCATTCGTAGGTTCGAATCCCACCGAGGCTACTGAACTTTTCCCAATCGCCGTGCAACCTAATCACCCAAGTTCACCTCAAGAACTCCAAACTCTGTCGTTGAACAAATGTTGATGTTCTAATAGACCCATGATACATGCTATGAAAAGTGCGTCTCTCGGAGTATACCGTAAGTACAAAACTCGTCTCTGGTCGTAGTTACTGTGGTAATCTTTGGTGATTGAGCTATTGCCACCGTCCGAGCAACTAAGAACAGTTATACTTTAGCTGCAGTACACACGAAACAGTGCGTCACCCTTTATGCTAATCGAGTTTTGTCCAGCAAATCTCAAGCAAATCGCACAGTTTCCCTTACCCAACGATTCGTCGTCCGGCAGCGAGCGCGACAAGATGCACGACAGGTCTGCCTCATTTCAACACCGAAAGAGCGGGAGAAGACGGGTGGTAAATCCGGGCATAGAAAAAACGTGCTCAATTGACCAATAGGATGCGCTGGACGGAAGCGAATCCAACCACCGCGTTTCTTTCTAAATTCAAATTGATGGTTTCTCAATTCAAAAACACGGTTTTACCAAGCAAAATGATAGTTTCCCAAATTAACCTTGAGATGGTATAATTCATGAATCATGTAGCATAACTTGCAGAACTTAATCAACCAATACGATCATGGGTAATAACGGCGCCATCATTGTACAACGTCCTATAGTGAAGCGAACTTCACTAACCACTGCCAAACTCATTTTGCATCCGGGGTAAGTGATAATATGTAAGGAGGACAGGGAATGGGCCTATTTTTAGGGACGGGAAAAGAAAGCGAACCTCTATGGTTAAAGCACACAGTACACAGTCCAACTGTACATAAATACTATTACAAACATTTTAGTCTGATAAGAAGTGACAGCAAGATCGCCATTGCTGTCGCCTCGCAGCTCTGATCTTCAGTGTCTCCTACCATGCGGTTTCGGTGTCTTTTTGACTCTAACCCGGAAGAAGAGAGACACCTACTCTACCTAATCGCCCTGTGCATTTGTTTATGCCTTGGTCTCCAAATAATCTGATGGCCTTCACATGGCTTTCTCTAGCATGTAACAGCCACTGCAAACAAGGCGCGGTAGGCGACCGTGTCCTAACCAACGGAGAGTATTGAGCTGGATTCGATGAGACAACGAGTTCTTGTTTGATGTATTCCAAAACACCCGACGACTTAATTCTAAGTTACTAACTCGCTCACTCCATACAGCCTGGACCAGATTACATAAACATCGATTGTCGAACACTGCTAAATGTGTCTTTTATCCGCAAATTTAAGATCTCACAACAGTAGAGTAGCACTGATCGTACGGTGGCGCAATATCCGCCAATTTTCAACTTTAGTTATACGTCACGTCGCCGCCACAGGTGTTTAAGTCCTGCATATGCTGCTCGAGCCTTGGAAATGCGGGTGGTTATCTCCTTAGATGGGCTACCGTCGTTGGTCACGCAGATACCTAAGTACGAGATGCAGTCAAATACAGCTCATTTCTGAGCGTCTAGTTTCAGAACAGAACTCGGCGACACCCAGTTTTGTAGGATCGTTTTGCACTTTGAACGTGCAAAGCACATGCCGAACGGAGCCACAGAACTTGATAATCTGTCAAGTGTTCTTTGTGCATCCTCCATACATTTGAACAAGCAAACGATGTCGTCAGCGTACTCCAAATCGCACAGCTTTTCTCCAGCTGCCCATTCAATACCTACGTTTTGGAGACCCCTTAGTATGTTGTCAGTATTTCGCCTATAACGAAATTGAATAGGAATGGCGAAAGAGGGCACCGTTGACGAACACCGCTGGTAGTTACGAATGACCTACTCAGCTCGCCGTAGACCCTTACGTTACCATAGTTATGCGAGTAGAGTGAACTCAGTATGTTCACGTACTTCTGCCGCATTCCTTTGAGAAGGAGTGAACCTATAAGGGATTCACAATCAACTGAGCCGAGGGCTCCTCTTAGGTCAAGGAGCACGACAACCGTTTGTCGATGGTGCGTATGGCGTAGCTCGAGGACTTGACGCAAAGTGAAGATTTGGTCGATACAACAGCGAACTAGTTGAAATCCTGCTTGTTATTCGCGGTTGTTTGTCTCCGTAAACGGCGTCAGACGTCGAAGTATAATGGAGGCTAGTAACTTGGTGTCGATTGGGATTAAACTTATTACACGGTGATTTGCGCAGTCATTGCGAGATCCCTTCTTAAAAATTAGAACGATCAGTGATTCGCTCCAGGATGATGGAATGCGCTCGTGTAACCACATGTTACTCAGTACATCAGTAATGGAGTCTACAAGATCATCGATTCCCAACTTGAAAAGAGTGGGGGAAGCCCGTCTGGTCCTGTTGATTTCCTTTTTTCAGATCTTGGATGCAAGATCGAACTTCTGCTACAGTAGGAGGTTCAGATGACACCGCCCACCGAGCCTCAGTTACACCAGAGGAGATAGCCTGGCTAGCGCCTGGCCAACTGAACTGTTCGCTGAAGTACTCCGCCCATCGGTCAAGCCGTTGTTCCCTATTGTGAATAGCTTGTCTTCTAACTGTGGTTCGCCTACTTCCCGTATTGCGTATCAGTTGGAATAGTCTTTGACTATTCCCTGATACAGCTGTTACTTCCATTTCACAAGCTATGGTTGCCCACCAGTTCTCACGATCTTTCTTGAGGCTCCTCGCGAGTCGACGTTGTAAACGCCACCTAATCTTGCCTTGATCCCGGGTGGTTGGGATTTGCGTCTTTTTCTCCATCCGTGCTACTGAATGAGCAGATATTCAATGCCTCGGGCGGGCTACTGCTTCAGATCCGCAAGCTACGTTCACTGGGGAGTGCATTGCTCGGCTAATCTGATCCCATTGTTCATTTACACTACCACCCCGCCACACGTTTAGCTCTTGTCCTAGTTCTCATTCGAAACCTGACGAATGGCTGAGTTAGATAAGCCATGATCTGCCAATCGAGTTTTGTGGGATTTTCCGCGATCAATGAATTGGAGAGTGAACTGTATCAAAACTAACGCATGGTCAGATTTACCGCAGGTGGTCCAATGGGACCTGCAGTTTTGTACTGAGTCACGCCTATGGTAGCTTACCGCCATGTAGTCGATCTGAGTTATTGTGCCAGTTGAATTTGAGCGCCACGGAGCTGTCCGTTGAGAGCTAGAGCTGTGTCGGAAGTCGGTGCTGGATAGGAACAGATGATGGTCTGCGCAAAGCTGAAGAAGTCGATCACCATTATCTGTTCGCTGGTGCGGCAGAGC